CCCAACACTGTGAGTAGATTATGAGTGTTACTTTATTCATGGGGGTTTGAAAAATGATCAACGTGAAGTGATCACGTTGATCATTTTAATGTAACTTTTAATCTCTATAACTTATCTTGTATCTTTATTATTTTCATATCCTGCATGAAGGTTAAGGAAAGTAAAACGATTTCTGGACTGATGAAATTATTTGCTTCCTTTGTTACAGTTGCTATTTTTTGTGTTATCCTTGGATTTCTTTCTGTATGACCTTTTGTCTTTTTATTTTGGATCTTTTTCTTTGCCCCCTTGTTGAAATTGAATTTTTTATTGTTTTATGATAGAGAGCAACAGGCTTTACATGTACATACCGTACAAGCTTACCTTCAATAAGCTTGGGCAGGAAGTGAGCAGCTCCCTTCGTCTTCTTGACGCGGTTCCCCTTCATGACTTGGCCGTCCCGGTTGATGCCGATGTACCAAGCCCGCCCTGACTGGGTCTGTCTGTACAGGATGGACGAGTAGGTGACGTAGTAGTTCTCAAACACACACTCCTTAAACTTACACTCAGGTGTAAAGTGTTCCTGTAAGCAACACACACACACACACACACACACACACACACAAAGACAGGTCAGGTCAATGGAGAAGAATAACACATTTGCAGATTGCATCATTTTTTATCTGTTCTATTATTTATATATTTACTCTCCGATTCCACTGGCTCAGCTGGGAATGGGAGGAAATGGGTTCCACATTTCATTGTGACAGGTTTACAGGAACATCTGTGGCATGCACACAGACACACAGACACACACACAGACAAACTCAGTCCCAACATGTACATGCCTCTTTGCCACACGGACAAAGTGTTTTGTGAGCCAGCAGGTCATAACTCTACGGTTTACCTGTAACAAACAACAATCAACTGGATCCTTCACCTCCTTCATAGTTTAATGACCTCGCTGTTGGCCTTCAGCTCACACACACACAGACACACACAGAGCCCCCGCATTAGGCAATACGTCAACAGCGGGACATCCCCACCCTCCTCCCCTTCATTGTCCTCCCAACAATCTCTGGTTACAGCTCTCACATATTCCTTCTCTATCTCATATTCCGTGTCTCCTTCTCCACTTCATTCTCTCCATCCCTCCGTCATTTGGTAACCTTGTCGAGGAACAAACCAATTTGCAGGATTGATTTCGAGCCTTGATGTGACGGGTGAGCAGAAAAGGCCTGAATAAGGAGTTTGCTCCCTCTCTTTCTCTCCTTCCCACTCTCGCCCCTCCTCGCCGTCTCCTATCTCGACTCCCTCTCTCCGTCTGCCATTCCAGGGCCAGATCCTCACGGCTGCCCATATCCATTGTACCACACATAAACAAGCTAATTACATCGACTGTATCGCCCATTCTTTAATTACACATCCATTCACTTAGACAGCCATTCATTCCCTTGCCCACCCATTACCTTAGCTCTATTAGCACAGAGTGAAATCCAAAGGTCTGCAGTGTCTCTGAAGGTGTAATCAGATTGCTATCATTAACTGCGTTTTCGCTGCAGTGTGATGTGTCTCATCTTCTCTGTGCTGTGTGTGTGTGTGTGTGTGTGTGTAGGAACTTTAAAGGATTGTAAGGTAACTTTAAAGCTGATCAGCAGCTCATTACCACCATCATCAGACATGCATGCTCAAGACCATTAATTGATTAATTATGTGAATTAAACTGAACCTGAAACAGATAAGCAAACTTAGGAGATCCTCAAAAGTAAGCAAGTGTGGTAAGATGCAGCACCTTTTCTGACTGTGATAGAGCTGGCTCTGTTATTTTGCAGGCTACAAAAGGTCCCATGATTAGGAGAAGTAACACAAACTAATCACATTGCATTAAATTGTGTGCTTGAAGGATTTTAAAGATAACCCTGGCTTATTTTAACTTGTTATAATTTTCAGTGGATGTTTCATCAGCTCTGCTGTTTTGACATTTTTTCTGTGCAGGATCTTTAAAGACTTTATTGCAGGGTTGTGAACACAGATGTATAAACTGACTGCATTCTAATACCCAGCGTTCTTGCACTCCTGTCAATGTAATTTCCTGGTATAATTTTCACATAGACACTCTTCTGCTTTGCTTTTTCATTTTCTCGGGACACCCCATTTATTACATTTTTTGAATGAAGTGGAACTGGCCCACATCACAGTTTCCAACCAGGACCATGTTTTCAGCACAGGGTCCTACTGTGAAGTCCTCATTTCCTCAGGGGAGAACGTTTGATGGAAAATGACTTGAACTGCTCCAGAGTGCCATCATGTGAAGGCACATCTACATTTGAAGATATATGATGACTTCAGGTGCATCAAAGCAGTCCTCACTCATTGCCTCTCTGACACTCTTTCCACTTCCAAAAAGTTCTAAATCATTTTGAGCGACCAGTGTGTTGACGCAGTGCTCCCTACAGCTTTCTAACAAATGTCATTTTTAAACTGTTTTAAAAGGAGCACTTGGATTGGTGGTGCATTTTATATCAGGTAAAACATATTTTACCTGACGATAACACACATACGTACAATTAACATGCCTTTATTCTCATGGCATCACTATAGCTCAGTGGTCCCCAAACCTTTTAAGCACCACGGACCAGTTTAATGTAAGACAATATTTTCACGGACCGGCCTTTAAGGTGTTGCAGATAAATACAACAAAATAAAATGATACGCCCAAGACAAAAACTGTGGTATTTTGTAAATATAATAATAAATAACTTTATTAGCAGCGTCCTCCTGAAATCTGCCAACAACATTGAGAGTAACACCCTCCTCTCTGCCCCTTAATTAATCTCTGGTCGCTATGGTAACATGTAAATATTTCTTTCAAAATAAGACACAACTGCAACAAGGGAAAAAACTATAAATTTCACACCCGAGGCTCTACTCTCGTGGCCTGGTACCAAACAACTCAAGGACCGGACCGGGGGTTGGGGACCGTTGCTACCCATATGGAAAAGATATATATAAATCTTATGAGGTTTGTATCTGTCTTGTGTGAAACTTGTATGAAAAGCATATAAGAGTGAAAACAGTTATAAGATCCCTTGAAAAATCCTATAAATGAAACTTGTATGTTTTGGATACTTACTAAAACAATATATGAAAGTAATGAGAAAGTGGCCACTTTCATGAGTAAATCATATAAGC